CGGAGCGGCTGGTAGTTTCGAACCGCTGACCTTAAAAATTAGCCTGATATATTTGGTCTTGGTGTGGCACTACAGGTTAATGCGCTAGACTTCAAGGTCAGTTTGAACCGCAAGGTCGGCAGTTCATACTTACCAGCCTCGCCTCCAAAACCTTATACAGGATTATTATGGGTCAGAATTGACTCAACGGCACTTAACAACAACAATATGACCCACAGAGAGGACGCTCCCCATCCCTGATCCTATAGGGTCACTCTAAATCAGAATAGACTTCACAGCACATAGCAACCCTAACCACAACCCTTGTTCTAAGTTGTAAAGATCCGGAGACAATGCTGTGAGTGCTGCTGACAGCATCTTCGTTCTGTGAAGCTGTTCCCTGCTTAGACGAGAAATGAAGGAGAAAAGTCACTGTGAGGGGTAGTTTGCCTTGTGATGGCCATCCACTTCTTCTTGCATAATTAATAAAATGGGACAGAGAAGACAGCAGGGCTGGTTGCAGCCTGAGCGGGCGAGCACCGCCACGAATGTTTTCAGACCACACACCCACCTGAAGAAGCCCTTTGGAAACAGAAAATCCACTCGGCAGGCTCTGAGAGGAAGCCTACATCCAGTCTCAGGACCAGGAAGAGTGCGCTTCTGTGTCACGTTCCCAGCCCTTGCATTTGAGCACTGAGGTGTTCTTCCCCAAGTTCTGGAGTTCTACACTATTTCTGTGTTACCTTGGTAATAGATCCCTCTCCCTAAAATAACTCCCTAGAAGGCCTTCACCCTTGGCAACCGCTCTCTTGCTGTGTGTAGCGATTCCTCCTCTGGAACTATGTATTTGGTAAAACCTGCTGCATTTTCTTTGCGAGTAGTTCATCTCTTCATGTGTGGAAGGCTTTTTTCTTTATCTGACTTAGGATGAACTAACCTGGGACATCATAAAAGTAGCCATCTGCTTTTCTAAAAATAGTCCTCAGACAAATAATCGCTCCCGCCAACCACAGGTGGCCACCGAGCTGATTCCAACTCACAGTGACCTGGCAGGACAGAATAGAATGGTCCCAGAGGGGTTCCTACTTTGTGCTCTTTATGGGATCCTGGTGTAATGCTGTAAGATAAGTATTGGACTGCTAATCACAAGGTTAGTGGTTCAAACCCACCAGTTACTTCTTGGAAACCTAATACACTTAGCAACAATGATAATCTTTATGGAAGTAGGCGGCCATGATTTTCTCCATCAGAGTGGCTGACGGGTTCAAACCACTAGCCTTTTGATTAGCAGCCGAAGCCTTAACCACCACGCCACCAGTTCTCTTTACAGCCCATAAGGTTTCCTAGGCTGTAATCCTTATGGGAGCACATTGCCTGGTGTTTCTCATACGGAGTTCGCTGGTGGATTCGGACAGCTGATCTTCAGCCACATCTTCTGTGGTGGGTTCAAACCACCAAGCTTTCAGTTAGCTGCCAAGTGCTTAGCTCACTGCACCACCAGGGCTCCTTACGTAGACTAATAGGGGCGAGAGTATTCATTATCTGGGCTTGCTGTGTGGTTAGGAAATGGCCCTGGTACATTATACTATGATCCAATCATAGGGTGAAACGAGTGGCTATTCAACTTGAATGACTTGGCGGACAGACAGGAAGAGCACACAACTGTATCTCAGGCAAGAAGCGAACTGTAGCTGTCCCTGGGTGGTCAGAGAATGGGCGGCCTTTGTCAGCTTTTGACTGGAATGGCGTCCTTTGTCGGTTGAAGAAAGCAGGCTTTTTCTACAGCTGCCCCTGAATATTGGCAGCAGCAGGGTACTAACTGAGTCAGCTATATTTTTGCAAAGGAAAAAACAAAACAGCAAAACACTAAAAAACTCAAACCTGTTGCTTGTCAAGTTGATTCTGACTCATGTTGATCCTGTGTGTGTCCGAGTGTAACTGTGTTCCTTCTCAGAAGCGGATCACCCAGCCTTTCTTCTGAGGACTCCAAGCCCCAGCCTTTGTCTTAGTAGCTGGGCACGTTCACCACGTGTTCCATGAGTGCAGACTTTTCCCCTTCATGTGCGCGTGGCTTTGGTTTCAGACTTGCAAACACACCTTCTCTTTTGTAGTCAAGAAGACATGTGCAGAGTCGGACTTTGTGTGCAACAATGGCCAGTGTGTCCCCAACAGATGGCAGTGTGACGGGGACCCCGACTGTGAAGACGGCTCCGATGAGAACCCGGAGCAGTGCCGTGAGTATGGCTTGTGTCAAATGAGACCCTTCCCAGCTGCGCCATGTCTCCTGGCTCTAAGCATTGCTTAACCGGATCCTCACTTACTAGTTTTCCTTTGTCCTCTCTCTAGTGTAGACCGTTTGACCCCAAAGTCAGTCAAACCACAGACAGTTGATCAGTCTCCTTTTCAGAATGCCCCGTGACTACCCCTTCCCACCCACCCACTCCCAGTCCAGCAAGGCTTACGGTCTCTTGGGTAGCTTTGCTGTTCGCTTTTGAAAACTGCGGGCTGAAGCCAGCAGCTTTGATTTCGAACTCCTTGACTAGGTGCACAGATTCAAATATGTGGCGGTAATGACTCTGGTAGCGTAGTAGTTACGAATCAGGCTGCGAGCTGAAAGGTCAGCAGTTCAAAACTACCAGCTGTTCCGTGGGAGAAAGATGAGGCTTTCTGCTCCCGTAAAGATTTAAAGCCTCAGAAATCCGGTACAGGGTCGCTATGAGTTGGAACTGACTCCGCGGCATATAACAACAACAACAACAATGACTCTGAGCAGGTGGTAGTCTAGGCCAGGGAAGTAAGTCACTGTGGGAGGCCGGAGGCCCCTGATGTGCTTCTAGATGCTTCTCATATTGCGAATAAACAAATATGTCTCTGAAAGTGCAATGGCTGGGGTGACAGGAGCGACTGTGGCTGTTAAGAGCTGTGTAAATAAGGCTATTGAGTCTGGGACATTTCAGCTTATTCTTACATAAAAGTGATGTCACAGGTACGCAGATGTCTAACTGTGTGCTTCAGGCTGATGGTTTGGGTTCCTTGGAGAAGTTTTGAATGTTGAGGTGCAGAAAGTCTTAGAGTTCATTTGGAGGCACGAGAGGCCCAGGGAAGCACCAGGAGTGGAGGGGTACCTTGAACACAGCTTAGATCTGGGAAATGGTTGGAAAATCAGATGAAAAATGAAAGACCAGTGTTGCCAAGTAAGAAATGAAGGAAGTCGCGAGAATATGAATCAAGGCAGGTGTGACGTTATAGGCAAAGACAAGTTCAGGAAAGATTCAGCCCCAATTTGGGGCTGAGTTTTTTTGGAAGTAAATTGCCAGGACTTTCTTACGAGGTACCTCTGGCTGGACTTGAGGTGAGCACATCTGTGGAGGACAACCTGGTAAAGTCCCGAGTTAAAGCAATTCTCTTCTTTGCCAGATGTTATTCTAAAGGAGGTTTCAGAGGTTGCCAATACAGGGGATCTGGCCTAAAGATGTCTGCTCAGCTGGCAATTTAAAGGAAACTATCTGGATGTGCCCACTTGATAGCCTTCAGACCAATCATGGTTTTTGCTCGGCTACTAACCCAGAGGTGCCAAGGAAAGAAAGTGCTGCCAATCTACTTCTAAAAGATCACAGCTGTTGAAAACCTGTGGAGCACAGTTCTACTCTGACTCACACAGGATCGCCAGCAGTTGGAATCCACTCAACGGCAGCCATTTGGGGTTTTGGTAACACCAGACCAGCTAATAAACCTAACCATGTTGATTCAGTGGATCCCTGTCGGTATAATGTCAGGCACTTAACTGCTAACCAAAAGGCCGGTGGTTCAGAACCACCAGTGGCTCTGCTGGCGAAAAGCCCCTGGTGAGCTGCTCCCATCAAGGTGACAGCCTAGGAAACCCTATGGGGGCAGTTCTACTGTGTTCTGTAAGGTTTCCATGAGTCAGAAGTGACTCGATGGCATCCAACAACAGCCAAATAAAGTGAAAGCCAAAACCGGGAATGACCCCGGAAACGGAGAAGTGGTGCGGCTCAGGTGGACTGCCAGCCAGCGTAGGTTGGCATAACTTCTCAGGAATGGCACTGGCCAAGGACCAACACAGGCTCCGCTGGTCAGAGGCGTGTCCCCGGTGTTCCGGGCTCTGAGCGACAAGGGTCACTGCTGTAGTGACAGCTCAGGGACAGCAGCTTGGCAGCGATACATGTCGAGGCTCTTTTGAGACTGTATATCATCAACAGATATGAGAACATGCCGCATAAATGAGATCAGCTGTGGGACCCTTTCCACTCAGTGTGTCCCTGTGTCCTGGAGGTGTGATGGTGAAAGTGATTGTGACCGTGGAGAAGATGAAGAAAATTGTGGTAAGAAGGCGAGTGTGCAGTGGTGTGTCTTACAGACCCCCTTTCATCCAAGCAGGGTGGGTGGGGGAACAGCCGTACACTGAAGATCTGTCTAGATTGACCACTGCTCAGTGCCTTCCCTACCTGCTTGAGAACATGCGAGTTCGATCCACTCATCCTTCCTTAACCTCCCCAAGCCTCTGAAAGCAGCTCACATGGTCATTGACCATCGCTGGCTTTGGTGATTCTTGTAGATGAATAGAGATAAGAAGGTAAGTCATCCAAGACGCTTCAGTCTCCAAGGAGGAGTTGTTCTAGGCTTCTGCCTCTGAGAAGTTTCTGGTGATGCAAATGATAAAGCACTGATTTACAAACTGAAAAGTTGATGGTTTGAGTCCCCTCAGCTCCCCACCACCACCACCACTACCACCACCACCACCACCCAAGAGGGCCTCAGAAGAAAGACCTGGTGATCTGCTTCCTTCAGATCACAGCCATTAGTGTGATTCTATTCTGAAACACATAGGGTCCCCTAGAGTCAAAATTGGTGCAATGGCACCTGTTTTGCCTCTTGCACTGTAGTAATTCCTAAGCTTTAATGAAACCAGAGGAGAAGGGGGACCGGCTCACACCTGGATAAGTCTAATCGATTTGCTTAGTGGAATAAATTCCTTGAGTACCCTACAAGCACTTCTTCACCTCTAAACGAGATTCTGTTGTTAACTTTTCCAAATGTTGAACTGGCCCAGAAACCTACGTTAGCACCTTCCCAACACATAGCCAAAGCAAAGTAAACCCAGGCTATATTGTCTTTGACACCTGTCATAGTCCCAGCACATGAAAGCGAGCTCTGTTTCCTACTCTTTCATCTTTCCGCTCTTGGAGATTGTGTAATCCAAGGCTACCTGTCAAAGGTGAGGCCCTGGGAAAATCTCTGGGTTGAACAAACATCGCTGGAAAGCTCTTTTAAGCTTCCGCCCTTTACGGGGAGCCTCTAAGCCTACAGCTCCCACGTGGGACAAGCAACGGGGTCTCCTGGAATTAGTGGAGCTCTGGGCTCCAGCTGATGAAAGCTCAGAGAAGTCGCCTACAGAGGCCAGGACCACTGCACCTAGTCCAATGAGTTCCGGTGGCCAACCGGAGAGTTGTGCTTCGTGTGTTGACCAGCCCTTGAGGTGTGGACGTTTCCCTCTGAAACTAGACTTTGCTTCCCAAGAGAGCTGTAGCCTCCACTCAATTCACCACCAAATTGTGACCTTCCTGTGTTTGGCAGGGATTTAAATGCAAGCACAAGCTGGTTAGTGTAGGGTTAGAGTGGCTAGAGACTGTGACCCTTGACCTAATGTGACTTTTCTGAAAATTGAAAATATTTAAGACTTATTCTTCTTACTCATTATTTAAAGGACCCAAATAGTGAGGCACATGATGGCTTCTCTTTGGCGGTCCTGCCTTAATGCTTGTTACGTGTGTCACAGTCACCCAGTGGTTAGGTGACATCGGTCCTCAACCAACGTTGGGAAACCTGGCCCAACAAGAAGGGTAACAGGCTCCACCTTCCAGAGGTCAGCCCCTGGGTTGTCTGAGCGGCTTGTGCTTGGCTGCTGACCGGAAGGTTGTCAGTTCAAGCTCACCCAGTGGCACTGCGCAAGAAAATCCTGGCAACCTGCTGCCTTGAAGAAGACAACCCCACGGAACACAGTTCTACTCTGACACACGAGGGGTGGCTAGGAGCCGGAATGGACTGGCCCTCAGCAGGTGGTGTGTGCCTGCGATCTCCAAGCCTGCCTGTCCCTTAAGGAGCGTGTTGGCGTGCTTCTACCCAGTTAATGTCTATCCTCGGACGATTGTCTGGGTTCTCTCTCTCCGTTCTTTTCCTTGGAGTCTCTGCATGTTTGACACAATCAGACAAGATTCCCAGCCTTCAGGTTAAGCTAGAGAGCTAGGATGCCTGAAAGGACCGTGCCTGATGCCCAGGCCCCGTCTGTCCCCCCAGGCAACGTGACGTGCAGCGCCGAGGAGTTCACCTGCTCCAGCGGCCGCTGCGTCTCCAGGAACTTTGTGTGCAATGGGCAGGACGACTGCAGCGATGGCAGCGATGAGCTGGACTGCGCCCCGCCCACCTGCGGCCCCCACGAATTCCAGTGCAGCTCGTCGTCCTGCATCCCGCTCAGCTGGGTGTGCGACAACGACGCCGACTGTGCTGACCAGTCCGACGAGTCCCTGGAGCAGTGTGGCCGCCAGCCGGCCACTCACACGCGCTGCCCGGCCAGTGAGATCCAGTGCGGCTCCGGCGAGTGCATTCACAAGAAATGGCGCTGTGACGGTGATCCCGACTGCAAGGACGGTAGCGACGAGATCAGCTGTCGTGAGTAGCCGCCCGCTGGCCCGGCGCGGTCCCCAGGGGCCACCCTGAAGCTGGCCGGCTTCATCCTACACCCGTCGTCTCTCCCAGCAGCTTCTCGAACCTGCCGGCCCGACCAGTTTGAGTGTGAAGATGGCAGCTGTATCCATGGCAGCAGGCAGTGTGACGGAATCCGAGACTGTGTGGACGGCTCCGATGAAGTCAACTGCAAGAATGGTGAGGCGGGCTTCGGCGAGGGGTCCCGGGGGGAGGTCCCACGCAGACGCAGACTCAACTGCAAAAAACAGTGAGGTGTGCTTCGGCGAGGGATCCCGGGGGGAGGTCCCACGCAGACGCAGACGCGCTAAGGGCGTGTCTCTTCGCAGTCAACCAGTGCTTGGGCCCTGGGAAGTTCAAATGCCAGAGCGGAGAATGCATCGAGATGGGCAAAGTGTGTGACCGACAACAGGACTGCAGGGACTGGAGTGATGAGCCCCTGAAGGAATGTCGTAAGTCCAGGGCCTTGCTCAGACCAGGGCTGGGGGGCTTCTGTCTGTGTGCCACAGATCAGACTTGGGGTAACTGCTGCTTCCCAACCCAGTTCAGTGTTGGGACATACAGGTGAATGCTTATCATGTAATAGCCCATGTAGTGACAAGCCAGTTAGTAATCTAACCCCAAATAGATTGCCACAAGGAGCCCTGGTGGCACTGTAGGTTAAGCACTGGGGTGCTAACTGCAAGGTTGCTGGTTCAAATCCACCAGCCACTCCACAGGAGAAAGGTGATACTGTCAGCCCCCGTGGAGATTTGCAGTCTCGGAAGCCCTATGTCGGGATGCTGAGAGTTGGAATGGGCTGTGGATTTGATTGGGAGTTTGTTCTAGATCACTCGGGAGCAATGCAAAAGTTTAGCTAAGTGCTGCTAAACCAACTGGCCTTGGCCAGAGGATTAAGTTTCCAAAGAAAACAAAGCAAAACTCCTGGTCATTGAGTTGTTTCTGACTTATAGCCGCCCTAGAGGACAGAGGACAACTGCCCCACAGGGTCTCCAAGGCTGTCATCTGTGCATACACACACCAACTGCAACGTCTTTCTCCCAAAGAGTGGCTGATGGCTTCCAACTGCCAACGTTTCAGCAGCCAGGCACTTAACCACTGCACCATCTTTGGCATTAATATTCTTCCCCCAACCTACCCTGGGATGCCTTATCTCTGAAACAGATGATTCAACCTTTGACTCATCATGGGTTTGGCCAGCCTAGCAACCTAAGTGATCACAAACAGCCTGGATTTTCTTTCTCATTTTTGTTTTCTGTATATCATCTTTTTTTTTTTAAGTTTTTATTGTGGGTTATATGATAGTTTATAATGGAGAACATTATATTCATCCTATTGTATTTTGTTTCATTGCAATGATTACAATTGCATCATCAAACAACCAAAAGGTATATACCTCATGCCCCCCCACCCCCACCCCCGGCTGTCAGCACACAACCCAAACAGCCTAGATTTTTGCATGTTTTTAAGACAGGCGTGGCGCTGTAGGATCAGCACTGGACTGCAAACCACAAGGTCCACAGTTCAAACCCACTAGCTGCTCCTCAGAAACCCTATACAGGGTTGCTATGAGTCGGAGCGGACTTGACGGCACTTCACCACCACAATAGGGTGGATGAGGGCTCGGCCCATCGTGGGATAACTGATGCGCGTCTTTGTTTCAGATGTGAACGAGTGCTTGGTTAACAATGGGGGTTGCTCACACATCTGCAGAGACCTAGTGATAGGTTACGAGTGTGATTGCGCAGCAGGCTTTGAGCTGATCGACAGGAAGACCTGTGGAGGTGAGTCCAAGAAGAAAACGGGACCCTGGGGCTGCTGGGGAAATGCAGACAATGTTATCAGGTAAGGCATAGAAACCGCAAGCCTAATTCTAATTTCCCTCCTAGATATTGATGAATGCCAAAATCCAGGAATCTGCAGTCAAATTTGTATCAACTTAAAAGGCGGTTACAAGTGTGAATGTAGTCGTGGTTATCAGATGGATCTTGCTACTGGCGTGTGCAAGGCAGTAGGTAACGAACTTGGAACGGTGTTGCTCTGGTGCCTTTATGCTGATGGAAGGGACACCCGGTGACTGCCACCAACAAACCTAGTGTGAGACTAGAACAGAATTCAGAAACAGTGCGGCAGAGCTCTTGGTGGGGGCAGTACCAAAAGCCAGTGGCCCCTAGTTGTGTCCAGGTCAGGGTGGCTCCACGTATGTGTCTTTCAGACTAGTACTCTGCTCCGTTGGGTTTCCAGTGGCTACGATCTTTTAAAAGCAGATCACCAGGTTATCTTCCGAAATATCTCTGGGTGGACTTGAACTTCCAGATTTTCAGTTAGCAGCTGAAAGTGTTAACCATTTGCACCAGCCTGGGACTCCCATGGTGCAATAGCATAGGTGAAATCGTTTCCCTAGACACCTGCCTTTTTGCATATGATTCCATAAATGCCAACCATTGTTACTTACTTTCTCCTTCTTGAAGAAACTTGAACCTTGAGCATAATTCAAATAAGAGACTCCGTAATTCCTCAACTGCCCTATTTTGGAATGCCTTGATATCTCCAGACCATCGTCCTCGACAATAGGAATTGCTTCTGAGTACCAGGATGAGGATTCTGGGCAGGGTACCTGTACCTCCTTAGCTCTACGAAATCCTTTGTGGAGAAAAAGTGACTTGAAATGACCTCACCTTCTAACAGTGAGACTCCTGTCTTGTAGGCAAAGAGCCCAGTCTGATCTTCACTAATCGAAGAGACATCAGGAAGATTGGCTTAGAGAGGAAAGAATACATCCAGCTAGTTGAACAGCTAAGAAACACTGTGGCTCTTGACGCTGACATAGCTGCTCAGAAGTTGTTCTGGGCTGATCTGAGCCAAAAGGCTATATTCAGGTAACTTCCTGTTGCGTTTGCGTGCCTTGGTATAAGTATTGTCACTTTGCCTGTGGGAAAGTTTAGAGGGAGGAGATTTAGCATCGAAGGTTCTGACCTCTAGGTCTAATCTAGCATCTAGGAACCTGGGAATGTCCATTTAAACACTGTTTCTGACTCTTTGTGAAATCACTATCAGTCCCTGGTTTACCAGCACCAGTTGTCATCAAGTTGACACCAACTCAAGCACTCCATAGGGTTTTCAGTGGCTGAGTTTTTGGAAATAGATCACTAGGCCTTTCTTCGAGGGTGCCTCTGGGTGAACTGGAAACTCTAACCTTTCAGTTAGCAGCTGAGCCCATGAACTGCTTGTCCCACAGAGCAACTCATCTCAGTTCCCGATTAGAAGTCCCATTGTCTGGAAAGAAAAGAAATGGCTCTAGTCAACACTGTCATTGACGACATCTTAATTTTTCGTATTTTCTCCCCTTCCTCTACAGTTCATTGAGAACTAACTACTCATTGTTGTTACAACTAGAGATGGTGGTGGCGGCTGTTTTTTATTGGGGACTATAGAAGGCCAGCTCATAGCTGCTCAGATACAAGGCTTCATGAGAAACTTGTCTTTCTTGTAGATAGAAGACAACCGGGTTCCCTACAGCCTTGCTAACATAGTATGAGTTGGCAACGGGTTTCAGTCATTTGAGTGGTGAGCGGTGATATGAAGAGTGATGTGACGTAGTGATGAGAGTGTGAGGTGATGGAGTGACGTGGAGGGTGTGAGGTGACATAATGACAAGGAGGGTGTGATGTGACATAGTGATGGTGGAGGGTGTGAGGTGACGGAGTGATGAGGAGAGTGTGATGTGACAGTGATGATGTGGAGAGTGTGAGATGACATAGTGACTTGGAGGGTGTGAGGTGACGTAGTGACAAGGAGGATGTGATGGGGCATAGTTATGACATGGAGGGTGTGAGGTGTCATAATGATATGGAGAGTGTGAGGTAATGCGGTGATGAACGTGTCAGGTGACGTAGTGATGAGGAGGGTATAAGGTGACGTAGTGACGTGGAGGGGGAGGTGATGTAGTGAGGAGGGTGTGAGGTGACGTGACGCGGAGTGTGTGATGTAGTGATGTGGAGAGTGTGAGGTGATGTAGTGAGGAGGGTGTCAGGTGACGTAGTGATGACGTAGAGAGTGTGAGGTGACGTAGTGACGTGGAGAGTGTCAGGTGACGTAGTGATGACGTAGAGAGTGTAATGTGAGGTAGTGGTGATATGCAGTTTGTTGTCCCTGAGCAGTGATGTGAGAGTTTTTATGTGCACATGGTGACTGACCAGGGTGTGAGCAGGGCGTCCACTCTGCAGGCTCTGATGCTGTCAAACTCTTACCCTTCTTGTGGCCTATTCTGTTGCAGTGCCTCAATTGATGACAAGGTTGGTAGACATGTTAAAATGATCGAGAATGTCTATAATCCTGCAGCCATTGCTGTTGATTGGGTGTACAAGACCATCTACTGGACTGATGCGGCTTCTAAGACTATTTCAGTAGCTACCTTAGATGGAACCAAGAGGAAGTTCCTGTTTAACTCAGACTTACGAGAGCCTGCCTCCATCGCTGTGGATCCCTTGTCTGGGTTTGTACTCCAGGGTTGTCTTCGTGTTGCTTGGGCCAGGACCTTTCCCCATGCCTGAATCCAGACTGAAATCCCAAGAACTGATCGCCCTTGACAGCAGATAATGACTCAGGCTGTGCCGTTGATAGTTCCGTGGTCGAGAAACCCTCTGTGTGGCCTTGTCTCTGTGCCAGCCTTACCTTGAGGGAAATGCTTACTGTGCAAATAAAACCTGGTACCATCAAGTCAGTCCCAACACATGGTGGCCTCCCTCCCCCACTGGGTGTGTTTGAGTAGAGCTGTGCTCCATAAGGCCTTTGGTAGCTGTGATCGCTCAAAAACAGATCACCAGGACTTTCTTCTACAGCATCCCTGGGTAGACTCCCAACCACCAACCTGTTGATTAGCAACCAAATGCATTACCCATTGGCACGGCCTGTGAGCTCCGTGGTCTATGTTAGTTGATAATTAATAACCAGCATTCCTGATCATTCATGAACACCCACCGTTGCCTCTACAGCCCAGTGCTCACCCTCCTTCAATGGAAGTGATTTTTATTTGGGGTGAACGTTCAGCCAGGTCAGCTGTGGATGAGCAAACATGATTGTTGGAATGCTGGTAACTGTTTTTTCCTCCAGGCTTACCTCTCATAGTACACATTGTTTAGAAGTCCCCTGGAAAGAATAGAACTTTCCAGAAACATTGCATGGAGGGGCTTCCTTAAATTGCCACTAAGTCACACAGAATGGCAACTTAGGAAGTTGGGCATTGTTGTTGATTCTCTTCGGTTGGTGTTGACCACAGTGACTCTATAACAGAGTAGAACTGCCCCAAAGGGGTTTTTAGGCTGTCGTCTTTACAGGAGATCTCCAGGTCTTTCTTCTGCAGAACCGCTAGTTAGATTCAAACCAAACAACTTTAGGATAGGAGCGTAGTGCTTAACCACTAGGCCACTCTCGCTCTGAAGCTGTAGGACCCACAGGTGGCCTCCCCAGAACACAGCCAGCCAGTTCCTACCACCAACAGTAAGCCATCTGTCATCCAGTCTTCTGAAAGGGAAAACATAACCTTGAGACTTTGGGCTGAAATCTCAGCCTCAGCTGCTTAGAGGTGACCTTCGTTCATGGTGAGCTTCTAGAGATACTGGTGTGAAAATTTGCTTACCAAGCACGTAACTTAGACCTTTGATTGTTTCTGTCTTGAGAGAACCAGTCACTAGAGTTTTCTGTTTACTCTTTGAACTTTTGTTGCAAGCTACTTGATTCCACTGAGGCTTCTTTCTAACTGAATTCTTCCCAGCTTTGTGTACTGGTCAGACTGGGGAGAGCCAGCTAAGATAGAACAAGCAGGGATGAACGGATTTGACCGGCGGCCGCTAGTGACAAGGGACGTCCAGTGGCCCAACGGCATTACCCTGGGTATGTATGTCCCTCCTGCCTCCACTCCCAGTTCCACTTATATGACAGCAGGTGACTCCCAGAGAAAACGCCAGTCATCTCTTCTGCTGCAGGATGTTTTGGATGCGAGCACCTTAGCAATGGGGTGTCTGTATGGTGCAAAGGGTGCATGCATTCAACTGCTCACTGAAAGTTCACAGGTTCAAGTCCATCCAGGGGTGCTAGGCCGAAAGGCCCAGTGATCTGCTTCCCCCAAATCTACCATTGAAAGCCCTATGGAGCACGGTTGTGTGACATACCTGAGGTCACCATGAGTTGGAGCCAGTTTGATGGCAGCTAGTTCCCTGAGCAATAGTGTGGAGTGGCGGACGTACGAAGTAACCTGCTCGCTGGTTCCTCGCTTTTGTTGTCCGCAGGGACCCTTACTCAGCGTGCCTGGCATGGACGACTGCACAGCGTTTCCTGGGTGGCAAACTTAGAACCGTTTTCTTCTGACTTACCAGAGGAAGAACAACAAAACACTAACCTCTTGACCAAAGCCTGTTGTTAAGTTGTTACTAAGTAATGTTTGCTATAATGTGTCCTAAGGAGCTCTGGTAATATGGTGGTTATGAGTCAGGCTGCTAGCCGCAGGGTCAGCAGTTTGAAACTACCAACTTTTCCATGGGCAAGAAGTGAGGCTTTCTGCTCCCGTCATCTGATTTACAGCCTCGGAAACGCTATGCAGGGTCACTATGAGTCAGAACCGACTCCATGGCATACCACCATCACACCATCACAATGTGTCCTGGTTTGGTGTTGTGGAATAAAGCACTGGACTGCAAGGTACATGTGAACCACAAGGTCGGCAGTTCAAACTCACAAGCCACTCCATGGAAACCCAATGCAGGATCGCTATGAGTCGGAACCGATTTGACAGCAGTTAACAACAGCATAATATGGGAATTATTCATTAATATTTTCTAATTCATTACTGGAGTCCTGACACGGCACTGTAGGGTAAGCACTGGACTATTGACCACAAGGTCAGCACTTCAAACCTACCAGCAGCTCCTCGGAAACCCCACGCAGGGTTGCTATGAGTCGGAACTGACTTAACAGCGCTGAACAACACCAACAAACACCCATTACTTATTCATTAATACTGCCCATAATCATACTATGGACATAATTGTCACGAGGGACCAGTCGCTGGAGAAGGACATCATGTTTGGTAAGGTAGAGGGCAGAGAAAAAGAGGAAGACCCCCAATGAGATGGATTGGCCAAGTGGCAGCATCAGTGGGCTTAAGCATGGCAACAATGGTGAGGTTGGCTCAGGATCGGGCAGTGTTTCATTCTGCTGTGCATAAGGTCACTATGGGTCAGTACTGACTCGATGGCACCTAACAACAACAACAACAATAATCTCGTGGTGCTGTGTCAGGTGTTGGGCTGCTGTTCCGTGAGAGAAGATGAGGTTGTCTACCGATCTGTAAAGATTTGCAGTCCCAGCAACCCCTCATGGTGTTACCGGAGTCACGCTGAAGGAGTTGCCAACGCCACGTGGATCGTAACAAAGAAAGGACTTTATTGTACCTACACGTGGCTCAATGGATTCTTATCCAGAGACTGAGCCCCGTTTATAGGAAGGACCCTAGTTTATATAGTGTTTGGCTCTTTGGGGCGTTACAGAGTGAACGAAGGGGGGCGTGTAAGACTGGTATGTGTTACTTCATACGGTGGGGAGGGAGCAGCGAGCAGGGAGGCAGTTTACAGAAGCCGAAGCAAGTAAGTTTTAACCTTGGGGGCTTTGTTATTTCCAAGAGAGGAGTCTGCAACATGAGGCGGTTATCTGTGACAAACACGTGGGGATGAGGCGGTCTGATGTTCAGCTCCTGGAATGTGGACTCTGTCCTTGGTGTGAGATGTGTCCTCTGGGAGCTGGAACCCAGTGCCTGCCTCAGTAGAGTCACTGTGAGCCCACAGTGACTCCGTGGCAGTGGGTTTCGCTATTTCTGGTCCGTCACGTGGTTGTAGGCGTTGTTGGCTCAGTAGTAGAATGCTCAGCTTCCAGGCCACTGCACCTCATATGTAACCACCTCTACCTGCCTTTCAGTTGGGCCTTATGACTTGCTACAATACTGAGAGCAGGTTCCAGAAAAGCTTCCAGACTGAGACAGACTAGGAAAAAAGTCCTGGAGAGCTACATGTAAACATTAGCCAATGAAAGCCGATCACAGATGGCCTAGGGCAGGGCAGCCTTTGCACATGGGATTATCCTGAGTCAGGGACCCATGATACCAACATAAGGTGCTTCATGTTTCCTAAGTCAATTACTTTGAGAATCTGAGGTACCCCTTTGTCGTTGGTATTAAGTGCCATCAAATTAGTTCCAACTCTTAGCAACCTTGTATAGGGTTTCCAAGGAGCCGTTGGTGGGTTTGAACTGCCGACCTTGCAGGTCATAGTCCAATGCTGATCCTGCAGCACCACACAGGAGTCCTGGTGTGGTGCTGTGGATAAAACATTGGACTACAAGGTCAGTTTGAACTTCATGGATGGTGGTTTAAACTCACCAGCCTCTCCTCCAGAGACCTTATACAGGGTTGCTATGAGTCGGAACTGACTCGACTGCACTTAACGACAAACCCCATTAGCACTGAGAGAAAAAAAAAAAAAAAAAAAATCAGAGGTAGAAGTGTGGCAGACTGTTGGAAGAAATTTGTGGGATCTCAGTTAGGGTCCCCCACTTCCAGAGAAAGCATCAAAGTAGAATCACAGATTCCTTAGGTATAGCTGGTGTTCGCCATTGTCCTGCTACCTCCTCATCCCACGACGATTTCTTTCCTCACTAGACCTTATAAAAAGCCGCCTCTATTGGCTTGATTCCAAGTTGCACATGCTATCCAGCGTGGACTTGAATGGCCAAGATCGCCGGGTAGTGCTGAAGTCGCTGGAATTCCTTGCTCACCCTCTGGCGTTAACAATATTTGAGGTAAAACATCTATGTGCATCACAGTATCCACCCTTGAATCCCCGTAGTGTTTTGGGGAGAGAGAACCCGATGGGCAGAGACAACGTGGCTCGAGGAACTGCTGGCACTTGAAGCCTGGTACAGCTGCCATGTACAGTCCTCAAAGTGCTGCATGACCCGGATGTGCTTCTCTCGTTGTTTTGTATCTGACCAGGCAAGATGGCCCACTAAATGGCCAGTAAATCAGGATGACCTTTGATACTGACTGGTGTTCTTTGGTGGACCTGCTGATTTGGGGGGTTCTCTTTTAGGATCGTGTCTACTGGATAGATGGGGAAAACGAAGCCGTCTATGGTGCCAATAAATTCACCGGCTCGGAGCTATCCACTCTGGTGAACAACCTGAATGATGCCCAAGACATTATTGTCTATCATGAACTAGTACAGCCAGCAGGTAACATGGTGCTTAATGGCTACTTGAGAGGCAACAGCATGACCAGCTGGGTGTCCCTAATGAAACGTTTGCCTTTCTGTGCCCTGTCTGAAAGACTTCCAACTTGGTGTTTGCTGTATTTTACTTCTAGTTTCCCAGTGAACTGGCTTCAGAACCTCAGCCCTTATAATCCCTTCCGATCTCCAATGTTGAGTTTTTACTTCCTTCTCTTCCGTATCCTCTTGCTGAGACATTATACCAGCTTCCAGAGTGGCTTTGGGGCCACAGGCTTGCCCTATACCCTCCATTCTGCCTCTTATGTGGATTACCTAGCTGTACCAACACATCTGGTGCTATCAGTGTGCTGCTGAAACCCCGTGGTTGGTTCTATCTAAGTAACTCCCTCCTAACGCCCTGTACCTGGACTCCTGTCCACTTGTGTGGATGAGGCAGGACGAGTCAGAGGAACATGCTTGGTCTCCTTCCTCTGATCCTTCACTCGAAGCTTTACAATAACAGTGGATGCTAACCCTGGTCCCTCACCTCCTTTCTCTACCTGTTCTCTCCTTACCTGCTAAGCAAGTGTCACCTGTTTCTGCCTCACGTGGAGGATAGTAACGTGCTCTGTAGTTTGTAGATGTTGAGGCTCCCCACCCACAGACACTGGACAGCATAACGTTTCGCTCACAGGGAGAAGAGACAGCAAGATTGGCTTTTTTTTTTTTAAAGGGTTCTCAGACTTTTATTGAGGAAGGATATTTAGTTATATTGAATTAGGCATCATACAGTTTCTCGTTTCCATTTTTTTAATACAATTTTACCATTCACTGTGTGATTTAAATGCAATTACAGTGCTCAATCCTGATCAAATTCAGTTCTACTGAGTACACTCTTACAAATCTTTTGGGACAGGGTACCATCTTAATGACAAAGTGTTCAGTGTTGCTTTATTTTTATGGACAAAGTAAAGGGCTCTAAGTATTTTGGCATTCTATGGCTTTTCCTAGTGTGGATTTTGGGCTGATAACTCAACAGACAAGAAGGATTTTCGCAACAATGCATGTGCCTTGATATCTCTTCCCCTGCTGTAATGCTGGAACAAAAACAATAGGATCTTTTCACTGATCAAAGCAGTCAAATACTGATCAGATCACACTGACACCTACGAGTGTCCCAAACTAAGGGGGAAACTTGACTAGTGGACTTTGAGTCCATGTGGCCAGCAGGCATGCTCTGATGCAAACACGGGGACATGTCTGCACACGCCCATCTGTAGGAGCAGGTGCCCCTTCCCTCCCTGCTGGGGACAGACCCAGCAGTGGGCTTGGCCAGGTGCCTCATACCACGTACACTTAGCTACGTAGCTCCTGGGAAGGTTGACATGTGCTCAGAGCAAGATGAGAGGGATGTGCAGGTAGGGCACCTGCTGTGGGATTTTGTGAGTCCTTCCGCATCCTGCCCAGCACGCCAAGTCAACACTGCCTAAGCTCAGTGTTCATCCATGGGACCCAGGGACAGGGGGCAGGCTGTACTTGGCCCACCCCTTTCCGCACCAGACATAACTCATCTTCAATCTCCAGGAAGTCTCTTTGGATCTGGGGTGTTCTTCCGGCCAGCTGCCTGTGTCTCCAGACTTCCTCCTTGGCATTGGGTTAATGTGCAGATTTCACAGAGCAGGCATGCTTAATCTCTTGGGAAACATCCTCCTCTTTTCTGCCTCTAGAACAGAGCTGTGCACCCAGTAGACACTCATTACATCTGTACGTCTGTATTTGAAGGACTGTTTTGCTCCTTAGGTAAAAATTGGTGTGAAGAAGACATGGAGAATGGAGGATGTGAATATCTCTGCCTGCCAGCACCGCAGATTAACGATCATTCTCCTAAATTCACCTGCTCCTGCCCCAATGGATTCAACCTAGAGAACAATGGCCGGAAATGCCAAAGTAAGGCTTCTTGCTTTTCAGCCACAAGTAGAGCAGGGGATGTAGGAAGGAACTCGCTCAGACACTGGCTTGTTGAAATGAACTATTCGGAGAGATATGTGAACATACCTGCTAAGGTGGCGTGTTAAGTGCCCGTGTACGCCATTAGTTCAAACTTGACTCTTCACACTTTGCAACGTTCAATGAGTTTCAAAAGAGTCCTAGTGTGGCATTATAGGGAAAGCTCTAGACTGCTAACTGCAAGGTCAGTGGTTCAAACCCACCAGCCACTCCTAGGAAACCCCAAACAGGATCACCATGAGTCGGAACCAACTCAACAGCACTTTACAACAACTAAGTGTCCACCAGCCTCATCCGAATTTGTACCAATTATTCCCATGGCTGCTCTATGCTAGACAAATTTGCAGATCAGTGAAGTCTTACTATGTCAAGACCCCTGGTGACTGGCACAGTGAGCTAAGGGTTGGCCTGCTAATAGAAAGTTCAGTGGTTCATACCCATCAGCCGCTCTGAGGGAAAAAGATGAAGCAGTCTGCTCTCGTAAAGATGTAGTCTTGGAAATGCTACGGAGCAGTTCTGTCCTACAGGGCCACTGTGAGTCAGAACTGACTTGATAAGGCTGTACATTTCCTGACATTTACCTTCTCAAAGAGGAAAAGATTGGAATTATGTTAAAAGGGAAGGCCACAGTTATTAGAACTCCCAAAACCTCAATGGGCGGTACTGTCTTAAACGCGCACTTAAATTTGTCTTATATTTGCGTCTTCTGTCCTCAGCCATAAGTGATTCATTAAATCTGCATGTTGATTGTAGAAAGCATGGGGTAGGGTTTGTTTTAGCGTAATTCTGCAGGGACTGAGAAAAGAGTTACAAGACAATCTGGCAGCAATTGAGACTGACAGACCTGGTCATCTATCTCCAGTGCATTTGGATTAAACATTGAACTACTAACCGCAAGATTGGCAGTTCAAACCCACCAGCTGCTCCACAGGAGACAGATAAGTCTGTCTGCTCCTTTAAAGATTTGCAGTATCAGAACCCTATACAGGGTTGTTATGAGTCGGAATCGACTCGATGGCAGTGGGGGTGCTGGTTTGGAGCCTGAGACATGATCAGTGGGCCCTGATGAAGCTGTGGTTGAGGCACCAGAATGCTAACGAGAAGGTCGGCGGTTTGAACCCAACAGTCTCTCCTTATAGAAAGATGTGGCCGTCTGTTTACATAATTACTGCTTGGAAGCTGTGGGGCAGGTCTACATTGTCTCATAAGGTGGCTAAGGATGGAGGGTGGAGGACATGATGAGTCAGACTCGATGATGACACTGAATCAGGGGGTCTGGGACATTGTCTAGCAGGCTCATGAAGTGTGTCTGTGCATGTTTTTGTCAATTTCCAAACGCCGACTTTCCTGCCCAAACGCTTGTGAACCTTGACCCCTGTGTGTGCATGAAGATGTCTCAATTTTTTGCCACACCAGTGACTAATTAATTCCTCAATGACTGTCTTGTCTCCAATGGTTTGAATTTAACCACCGTTGGAATGGCTTCTTGAACTTGGCAGCCAGGCTCTGAACCTCGGCGTTAACCAGGTTCTTGGTTTCTGTAATTCAGGTCCTACAAGTGTTGTGGCTTACAGTGAGATCAAAGATTCCAGCACAACCAAATGTCCACCAACTAGTGTCCTAGCTCCTGAAGGTACTGGACTCAGTGTACGCACGCACCGTCTCCGCTAACAGTCATACTCTCTACCTGTCGCTTAAGTAGTTAATGTAGCCTTCCTTAACTAGTTCTGCCGCTGACTGGTAACTTAGTTGAAACCCCAGAGCCTTACAACCAACACATACACACACACAATGACAAACCTGACCAGACTCATCACAGTTTCTGTTCTAGAGCAGCCATTAGTGAACTTGTCTGTCACTGCCTGGGACTCTCAAATCCGCTAGGCCAGAGGTAATGGAGGGGAACTTCAAAAAGCCCATGGAAAAATTCTATTCTCTTTCAATCTCATTCTCCCACAAGCTTTTGAAGCCCCCCTCGTTTATGGCGTAGGTGTTAAAATAGCAATAACAAACATAAAAGCGTGAAACTCGAACCTTAATGGGTAGTTTTCACCGTACAAACCCAGAACTTTCTAAATGGCTTCCTTTTATTCCCCTGTAGGGGTCAATGTGACCACCACCGTGTCAGAGGTCAGCGTCCCCCCCAAAGCGACGTCGGCTGCCTGGGCAGTTCTTCCTCTCTGTAAGTAGAATTCTTTGCTTGTCTGACTCCAATGAGCTTCTGAGATACCCCACTAATGTTTCTACTCCAATTCTGGCGCTCCTCCGGAACGTTCCCATGACCCCTGATGTCGTAGCCCTTAGGAATGCTGGATTTCCCCTTTGGGGACAATGGCTTGCCTACTCCGTCCTATTCTGCGGGAATTCCTGCGAGTCGGGGGTTTGACAGAGCAGACAGCAGTTTTTGCACAGTTTTGGAGGTTGAACTCGTCCACTTCAGGGTTTCAGCTGTGTGAATTCCTGCCCCGTTGGCCACTCGGGGAGTTCTTTGGTTCCTTGGGGTGTCTTAGCTTGGTCAACATGTAGCACCTGCCTTCCTCTCTGTGTGTCTGTCTGTGCTGCTCTTGGAACCTCTCAGAAGTGATTAGGTTTAGGATCCACCCTATCCTGGTAAGATCTCAGTAACACAACAAAAGGAAACCCCTGTTTCCAAATGGCAGGAAACGCAAAGGTACAAGTGCCCCGGGGCTTCAGGTGTAATCTGGGAGACACAGTTCCATCCACAACATTGCCTGTTCTCTTCGGAGGTAAACTGAGAGCAGGAACTGGCAGTTGCACATGTTCAATTGGAAATGACAGATTGTCAGCCTCGCCTACCTCGGTTTACCATAAGCCCCTCATAGTGAAGAATGGGTGTCTAATCACCTTTGAAATCTGTTGACGCTTCATGCAGAGATGAGGCTCAAGTGCTTCCCTGCTTTCCCAGAGAGCTTCAGGTCTAGTAGAGGGTAAATGACAGAGAGGTGAGAATTTTCAAGCCTAGTGTATTATCAGATGTGGGAATTAGAAGACAGTTTCCTATCATGACCTCTTTGTCCCAAGTCCCTGTGTTCCCAGCTTAGCTTACCCACCAGAACAACCTAAAGAACCCTCCCGAAATGTCTGCCATTCCAGAGGTGTGGCCCTGGACTCCACGCTCGGCCAGCTCTGTACCCGTCCACAGCGTAACACTTAGCTCCCGAACTGAATTTATAAAGCTTTAGCTCATCTTTAGTCTAGCTTCCAAGTGTCCCAGCTTCACAAAACATGACATTTGTCATCAACAGGGTCGGCTCCTGACATATGGCAACCCCACACGAAACAACAGAGCTCTGCCCGGTCCTGTGCATGCACATGGTGTATTGTGGATTGGACACTTGTGTCTGTAGGCTTTTTACTGGCTGTGGGACTAGATCATGAGGCCTTTCTTTCTAGTCTCTTAATCTGAAAGGTCTGTTGAAACCTATTCAATATCTTAGCACCACACAAGACCTCCACTGATGACGTGCATCGGCCTGGAATCGAACCCCGGTCTCCCACACGAAAGGTGTGAGGATTCCACCACTGCTCCCATGAAGTGTTGGCTCCTGTTGAGTCTCTTGGTCTCGTGGGCGCCTTAGTTCTGTGTGTTCTGAACTAGACCTTGCATCGCCCTCCTGTCTTTCCAGTGCTCTTAGCAATGGCGGCAGTTGGTGGCTACTTGATGTGGCAGAATTGGCAACACAAGAACATGAAGAGTATGAACTTTGACAATCCTGTGTACTTGAAGACCACCGAGGAAGACCTTTCCATCGACATTGGTAGACACAGTGCCTCTGTGGGCCACACATACCCAGCAGTAAGTCTCCTCGGCCTCTGTGCACCGTGGCTGTGACCACCCACTCCTAGTGTGGCTTGCTGGGAACATGAAGCCACCAAATGCCTCATCTCGTATCTGGAGAGTAGACAGTGTAGTCGCCTGGCATATAGGAAGTCAGTTGATAGGTACCTGACCACCTACAGTGGTACCTAGCTAGGTCAACATGAGTTCATCACTCTATGGGATACTTCAGTTAGACCAGGGGGCTTCAAAAAGTTTGTGGAAAAATTCAACTATCTTTTCAGTCCATGTTTCCACGAACTTTTGAAAGCCCCCTCATAGACATTGCCTGTAAACCATAACATGAGCCAAGTAGCTCCTTTTTCTGTTTCAGGCTTTTACTGTGACTTGAGTGACAGTTTCCTAGGAGAACATCGGTTTTGCACTCATCCTATCACATTTCGTTTCATTGCAATGATACAGTCCCCTCAATGCATCATCATTCAACACTATCTGACCAGGTAGCTCCTTTTTTGAACTATTAAATTAACTATGTATACGATATATTGAAGGAAATTAGCACAGCTTACCAAAGGGAAGTTGCCCTGAAGTCAGCATTGTGGGCAAGATTCCCTGAGGAATGCCCCCTCCGCCTAGCACAGCTCACTTTCCTTCTAGCTGATTCTTCACATGAAGCCCAAACGGAGCATTTGGCTCTCACTTGGGGAGCAGAGCAGGCTGGAACAAGACAGCTGCCAAACCCTCCCCTCTCAAACACTCTGGTGAAATGCAGAGTGTGGCCAGTTCATGATACACATTTGCTTTTTTGACATTTTTCTGCAGGATTTAGGATTATTAACTAGAACAGACAAGATCCATCACACTGTCTTCGAGTTCCACCAAGTCCACATTCAATCTCAGCTCAGTACATGAATGATTGAACACAATGCTGCTTTGTGTCTGAACTCCCCTCTCTCTCAAGCTCCATTGGGTTTTGGGGTTTGGGGAAGTTTTTATTGGGAATTGAGTGAAGGCTCATCCATTTTATATTCAGCAAATCCTACACTTGGGTTCATTTCAATGATTACAACCCCCTTCAGGGAATACTCCATTCCACCTCTTTCCCAACCCTTCTGAATTTTGTCCTTAGGTACAGGCTGCCCTTTTGATCTTGAATGGTTATCTGTCCCACTGGTCTCTGAATGACCCGCTCAGTAGCAAGGTCCATGTTAGGGACTAGAGTCATAGCCAGGCAACGGCCTCATCCCTTTGCTTTTTCTTCTCCACAGATATCAGTTGTGAGTACAGATGATGACCTGGCGTGACTCCTGGGAGCCAGTGGTGACCTTTGAGGTCTCAGTCTCCACTACCACACCTTGGATGGTAACCGCGCCAGTAGCTGAAGTCTTCGTTCCTCCAGGCTGGGCGAACATCAAGATATCTTGGCATGGATCAAGCTTGTGTCCTTGGCCGTTTTGATACTGCTTTTATAAATAATCTTGTCCACATTTGACTTCAGCTACGGATGATGTTACCAACTTTCTGTAACCCTTGAATTTCTAGACAGTATTGCCAACCTCTGGCCAAATATGCACTTTTCCTAGAAAGCCATATTCCAGCGATGAAAGTGTGTCATAGTGTGTATCACGTGTACAGACATTGTACAGGCCACTTGTAAATATCCCAGAGAACAATCACTATTCTTAAGCACTTTGAAAATATTTCTATGTAAATTATTGTAAACTTTTTTTTCAATAGTTGGGACAATGGCAATAGGAGAAAACGGGTTACTCAGATGAAATTGCCAAAAAAAAAAAAAAAAAAAAAAATTTGTAAGACTAATTTTGTACGTATGAATGAAATCTTTGACCTCCAAGGAGGTCTGCAGACTGAGTGTTCAAACTGCTGTACATTTTTTTTTCAAGTGCTAAAAAAATTAAACCAAGCAGCTTACCCATGGTTTGTGCCTCTTTGTCTAGGTGGTAGAGGTGGTGCTGTACCATCAAGTTGGTTCCGACCCATAGTGACCCAGTATGGGGTTTCTGAAGTTGGAAGTTTTTCTGGGAGCAGAAAGCCTCATCTTTGTCCTACGGAGCAACTGGGAGATTTAATCTGCTGACCTTCCAGTTAGCAGCCCATCTTGTAATCACTGTGCTGCCGGGGGTCCTATCTTCATCTAGGATGAATGGGCCTAGTTTGTGCCCGGTGTTCTAATGAGATGTGTGAGCTATTAGTCTGGATGTTATAGAGCAAAATTTCTAACTGGATTAGTGTTTCTTAGAGCCAAGCACTCACTCAAGAAGAAGGGATCATGTATACTTTCTCCCCAGATAGTCCTCTTCTTTGTGCCTAGGACTCCTTGTGCTTGAGAGGCTTTCCTGTTCTCATTAACTTGGTTTCTGTTCTAGAAACATGTGCTATAGCTTCCATCAATCCTGCTTCTTCATACATATGTCTCTTCTGGTTTTGGTAAAGTACCAGACCACAAGGTCAGTTAGAATCTCAAGGTTGCTGGTTCAAACTCACCAGTAGCTCCTTGGAAATCCTGTACAGGATCGCTATGAGTCAGAACTGACCCAACAGCACTTAACAACAATAGCAACAACAATCGTCAATCATCAAAGTGTTTATGGAAAAATGGAATGAAAAGATAACGGAAGTCTTTGATGAATTTTTTGAAGCTCCCTCGTATAGATGAAGGACAAACACCTTCTAAGACATGAGAAAGGACAGTCTGACCAGTCTTCCCACAAGATGAGTAGGACAAGTGGTACCATTCTGGAGCAGTCTAAGACTGGGCACATCAAGGTGGGCCTAGGGCCAGCAGCATCTGAATCACTTGGAAACTGGTTAGAAATGAAAATTCTCAGGACCCCACCCAGACCTCTGGAATTGGAACCTCTCGGGATAGAATCCAGCAGCTGTGGTCTCGCGGGCTTTCGGGTGATTTAAAGTTTGAAAACAATGGTTTCTCGTGTGACATCACAGAGCATTTCCTTGTCATTGCGCTAATCTAGATGCTATTTTCAGCCTGACTGGCTTAGAATGTAGAGGAATTCATAAGGGGTATGGGTAGCAAGAAAAATAGCACAGGGCTTCTGAGTTCTTCATCACGTTGGTCAGAACTTCCTTTCTCTAAAGTCTCAAGATGCCAGAAAAGAAAAGAAGATACAAGGCTCAAAGCACAAGGAAGGTATTCTAAGTGCAAAGCAAAACGACTCAACCTGTTGCTGTCCAGTTCATTCCAACTCACGGCAACCCAGTGGGTATCAGAGCAGAGCTGCACCATAGGGTTTTCTTGGCCGCTATGGGTCAGAACAAAGTGGGACCACTGACTCCCAGCCCCCCTTCTATTGTCTCCTTCTACCCATGGACACAAGGCAGGAGTAAGCTGGCTGATGGTGGGGAGTTTGAGATCTGTAGATTAGCCTGGAACATCAAAAAGAAAAAAAAAGTCTACAATTATAGTAGGAGATTTTAATACACCACTTTCGAAAAGGGAGAGAACAATCAGAAAGAAACTCGACAAAGTTACAGAGGAACTAAACAGCACAATCAACCAACTTGACCTCATAGATATGTACAGAGCATTCAGCCCAATAACAATATAATATACTTTCTTCTCCAGTGCACATGGAACATTCTCCAGAAATGACCATGTGTTAGGTCACAAAGCAAGCCTCCATAAATTTACAAACATCAAAATACTACAAAGCATCTTTTCAGACCACAATGTTATAAAACTAGAAATCAACAACAAGAAGACTAAGGAAATAAAGTTGAATACATGGAAACTGAACAACACCCTGCTGAAAAGCGACTGGGAAGTAGAAGAAATTAAACAGGAATTCATAAAGTTCCTAGAAACAAACGAGAATGAAAACACAACATGCCAAAATCTTTAGGACACGGCGAAAGTGGTGCTGAGAGGGCAATTTATTGTGATAAATGCGCACATCCAAAAATAAGAACCAAAATCAACACATTAACAGCATCTCCAACAATTAGAAACTGACCAACAGAGGGAACCTACAGTCACCAAAAGAAAGGAAATAACAAGGATAAGAGCAGAAATAAATGAGATGGGAAACAGAAAAGCTACAGAAAGAATCAGCAGGACAAGAAGCTGGTTCTTTGAAAGGATTAATAAAATCGACAGACCATTGGCAAACCTAACCAAAGAAAAGAGGGAGAAGACACAAATAACATGCATTAGAAACCACATGGGCGATGTCACAACAGAACCAAACGAAATCAAAAGGATAGTAACAGAATACTATGAGGAGCTGTACTCCAATAAATTTGAAAACTTAAAAGAGATGGATGCATTTTTAGAAAAACACGACCTACCAAAACTTACACAGAGTGTTGTAGAAAACTTGAACAGACCCATAACAAAAGAAGAAATTGATCAAGTCATCATAAAACTCCCAACTAAAATCCAGGCCCACATGGCTTCACTGGTGAGTTCTACAAAACATTCAGGGAAAAGCTGTCATCAATTCTACTCAAATTACTCCAGAATATAGAAGAAGACAGAAAATGTCCTAATACTTTTTATGAAGCAAGCATAACCCTCATCCTAAAAGCAGGAAAGGACATCACTAAGAAAGAAAACTACAGACCAATATCCCTCATGAACATAAACATAAAAATTCTTAACAAAATCCTAGCCAACAGAATCCAGCAGCACATCAAAAAAATAATACATCACAACCAAGTGGGTTTCATAAAAGGGATGCAAGGATGGTTCAACATTAGAAAAACAATCAATGCAATCCGTCACATAAATAAGAAGAAAAGAACCACATGATCATATCAACTGATGCAGAAAAGGCATTTGACAAAGTCCAACATCCATTCCTGATAAAAACACACAACAAAGTAGGAATTGAAGGGGAATTCCTCAACATAGTCAAGAACATATATACAAAACCAACAGCCTACATTCTCTCAATGGAGAGAAACTGAAAGCCTTCCCTTTGTGAACGGGAACCAGATAAGGATGCCCTTTGTCACTGCTCCTTTTCAATACTGTTTTGGAAGTATTAGCCAGAGCTATACGGCATGATAGGGAAATTAAAGGCATCCAAATTAGCAAAAAGGAAATAAAACTCTATTTGCAGATGATATGATCCTATACATAGAAAACCCCAAAGATTCAGTAAAAAAAACTACTAGACCTCATTGGAAGATTCAGCAAAGTGGCAAGGTATAAGAGCAACATCCAAAAATCAGTTTGATTCCTCTATAGCAACAATGACAGCGCTATAGAGAAATCAAACTGTCCTAAAAGACATTAGGAAAGAAATACCATTTACAATAGCCACCCAGAGGATGAAATATTTAGGAATAAACATAACCAGAGAAATAAGGGGCTTATACAAAGAAAATTACAAAGCACTACTACAAGAAACCAAATGAGACTTACAGAAGTGGAAGAACATACCATGTTCCTGGATAGGAAGACTCAAAATGGGTGAAAATGTCAATAATGCCCAAAGCAATTTACACATATAATGCAATCCCAATCCAGATTCCAACAACATTCTTCAAAGAGATGGAAAATACAATTACAAACTTTATATGGAAAGGAAAGAGACCCAGGATAAGCAAAACACTGCTTAAGAAGAACAAGGTTGGAAGCCTCTCACACCCCGATTTCAATTTTTACTACATGGCTACAGTGATCAAAACAGCCTGGTACTGGTACAATGAAAGATACATTGATCAATGGAACAGAATTGAGAATCCAGCAATTAACCCATCCACATACAGCCAACTGATTTTTGACAAAGTGCCTAGGTATATTACATGGGGAGGAGATAGTCTCTTTAACAGATGGTGCTGGCAGAACTGGAAAGCGATATGCAAAAGATTGAAACAAGATCTTTACCTCACGCCGTATACAAAAACGAACTCAGCATGGATTAAAATTTTGTAAATCCCAAAATTATGAAAGTCATCAATGAAAAAATAGGGAGAAGTGTGAGGGCTCTTATACAGGGAATACACAGACTACCAAACATTTTGAAAATTACACAAACAAAAGTAGATAAAATAGATGAGTGGGACATTACTGAAAATTAAAAATGTATGTGCATCAGAAGACTTCACCAAAAGAGTAAAAAGGGAACCCACAGAATGGGAAAAAATCTTTTGCAACGACACATCAGACAAGGGACTCATTTCTAATATATATAGGAAACTATAACACCTCTACAAGAAAAAGACAAATAATCAAACTTTAACATGGGTGCAGGACATGAACAAACACTTCACCAAGGAGGAGATCCAGGCAGCCAACAAACATATGAAGAAATGTTCACGATCACTAGCCATTAGAGAGATGCAAATCAAAACAACAATGAGATATCATCTCACACCAGCAATAACAGCAAAGATGAAAAAAGTAGAGGACAATAAATGCTGGCAAGGATGTGGAGAGACTGGGATGCTCCTGCATTGCTGGTGGGATTGCAAAATGGTCTAACCACTCTGGAAAGCAATATGGCATCTCCTCAGAAGGTTGCGAATAGAAATACCTTATGATCCAGTAACCCCTCTACTTGGTATTTACCCACAAGAAATACGAGCCATACACTAGTAGATATTCACAATATTCATAGCAGCACTATTCACAATAGCAAAAAAATGGAGGCAGCCTAAGTGTCCATCAGTTGAAAGAATGGATAAACAAACTTTGGTACATACACACAATGGAATGCTATGCCACTTTGAAGAACAAGGAAGCTGCAAGCCACAGTATAACATGGATGAACCTTGAGGACATTATGCTGAGTGAAATCAGTCAGTCAAAAAGAGAAATACTGCATAGGACCAGTATTGTAAAAGAGTAAGAAAAAGAACCCACACTAAAAGAGGGGGAAATTATATATCGATTTGCTGATCACCAGGATGTATGGGATGAGAGGAGGGGAAGATAGAGCACAGGGTAA